AACCTCGAAGTGCAGATTTCGTGGCAGGTGCAGCACTTGGTGAACCTCGAAGTGCAGATTTCGTGGCAGGTGCAGCACTTGGTGAACCTCGAAGTGCAGATTTCGTGGCAGGTGCAGCACTTGGTGAACCTCGAAGTACAGATTTCATGGCAGGCACAGCAGTTGGTGAACCTCGAACTGCAGATTTCGTGGCAGGCGCAGCACTTGTGGCGAGCCTCGAAGTGCAGATTTCGTGGCAGGCAAACTTTGCGCGGATCACTCTCTCACTCTCCCACTCTCACTCTCCACACTCCCTCACACTCCCACTCTCACTCACACTCGCACTCACACTCACTCTCCCACTCTCACTCGCACTCGCACTCACACTCACTCACTCTCACTCACACTCATTCTCATCCACACTCACTCCCACTCACACTCACTCTCACTCACACTCGCACTCCCTCACAAACTCACTCACTCACTCTCCCACTCCACACTCACTCTCACTCTCACTCACACTCGCACTCACACTCACTCTCACCCACACTCACTCGCACTCACACTCACACTCACACTCACTCTCTCACTCTCACTCTCACTCTCACTCTCACTCTCACTCTCACTCTCACACTCACCCACCTTCACTCTCACTCATGCTCAACCCACCTTCACTCTCACTCACGCTCATTCACACCCACACTCACTCCCACTCCCACTCGCACTCACTCACACTCCCTCTCTTCACTTCATCACCACCATCACCTCTCTGGACCCCCAATGCGTCTAGATCTCTAGACTTTCTGCTTACAGACCTCACACACACTGTTTGGGGTCTCTTGCTGCGATAATTGTATATGCTATCTCAATCTTCTTTTTGGAACTAAGGCCAGCGCCGAGCAAGATGGTGAGTGTGTGGTCTAAGGCCGGCGCGCGGTGAACCCCAGTTGGCTCGTGGTGGGATCAGTGGATACTTATCTCGCCAGGACGAACTCCGACGAGCAGGGATTGGATGAGCAAAGCGGACAGGTTCAATGGTAGAACCAGCGACGAAAAGGGAATTGTTCAGCAGCGGAAGGCCAGCGGACTGTATGAGAAGAAGACGACTTTGGCTTGGTCCGCTACCTGCACGTGTCTCCCTGCTAGCCCATTCCCTCCAAGCACTTGCCAACCGGAGTAAATCACCGCACCACGACACAGGGTTTCCCTGTGCCCCCTGGCGCACCGAAGGGAGCGTGTAACGCCCACAAAAGTGAGCGGCCCGCGTCTAGGCCGATTGCGGGCGGTTTACCTCCTCTACCGCGCTTTTCGATTGCACATTGTTTGGCTTTTCAAAACTGATGAGGTTGATTAGAGCTTTCATCCCTTGATGTGTTGTGGGCCCCAATGAGCATTGGAAAAGAATGTGTCTAACCAAGCGAAACTTCCGAGTGTTGGCCAGATATCACAGATCGCTTTATCAATGATTTGCGTCGACATCGACATCGCTAATTGTTCGGCCACAAGGACAAGAGAAGACAAGAGGAGGACAAGACCCGGTCACACAGCCGAGCGCGGCCACAGATCCCGGCCACAGAGTTCAAGGGCGCGGCCAATCAGTGTGGCCAGCTTTCTTTTTCTATGATAGAACCCCAACAGTAAACTGTTTG